TACTTCAATTATTGTAGGATGTCATGCATGTAGGCAATTATTGTTAAAATCCCCCTTTAAAAAATTTTAATTTTTTTTTTTTTTATTCAATTCATTTAGGACTCGCCTTGTGAAAACGCAACATTAAATTCTAAATTGTGTTAGCATTTTGTTCTGGTTACTTTTTGATGAAACTAAAATTTTAATTTTATTTTCCTTTCTGTAATTGTTGATTATAAATTATTTTTATACTCAACTAGCAAGATTTTCACACCTAGATCAAAAGATTTGATTTTCAAAAAAAGTGATTGTTAAAAATAAAATAAAGTAAGAAAATTTAATTTCAAAGAACTTCTAATGTGTCATTTGTGCTCAAATAAACCCGAAAATTGAGTTCGGAGCCATACTAAAAGTACAAACTTGAAGCGGTTCTTAATGGATTATAAAAAATAAAGGGTTAGCTTCTTGTAGTATTTTGAGCACAAAAACATTTTATGTAATACATATACCTAGGTTACAAGCAAAAAAATTGTAAAAATCATTAAATTAATGTTGTTTTTTTTATAACTTGTACCATGTCCCCTTAAAATTCTTATTAAATAAAAAGTCGTATTTTATAACATTACCCTAATGAAGAATACTTTTATAGCTTTTTTAAATCATTTTACTAGTATCAATACTTTAAGTGTAAAATCAGATTACCGTTAGTTGTTCAACGCAAACCTCATTGTAGTTTCTTTAACTAAGTTAAACAGAAAATGAAAAATTTACTGTTTCTTAGTTGCATTGCTTGAATTTATAATAAAACCTAAGTAATAAAAAACTTAACAGAATTCTACACGCAATCATTATCAGTTACGTACTCAGTCCCCACTAACATAAATATTTTAATCATATAAAACAAAAATAAAAAAACCAAAAACTTTTTATTTCATTCAACAGAACATTGAAGACCCGTATGTAAATTCATTCAGATCTCCCGACAAAACTACATATCTTTGATTTTGAAATTTTAATTTGCATTTCTAAGAACCTCTCCTTTAGAGATCGATGGTTCTCTTCTTATGCTTTTGGGATCACTTTAGACGCTTCATTTAATTTTCTGATTGGAGTGAAAGCTTCCAGGCATTCATACATCCGCAATATGGCTCTTCCTTTTCATCGTTTACTTGCATTTTTCTAAAACTTCCACATTTTCTACAATTGTGACTCCGGAAACCATTTTGCTTTTACCAAATTGGCTCGGAATACCATTTTCTTTATTATGTGCACAATTTATATTTCTCGCAAGTTAAATACGGATATTTGATTTGTTTTTTGAAAACAGAAGCTAACTTTAAAAATGATTGATTCTTTCTTCTTCAAAGTTGGCTAATTATCTAATGTTGTAGCTTTTATTTTTTCTTTCTTGTCACAGTTTTAAAAGAGATTATTTATGTTGGAAGCATGAAACGATGAATTTTCGGGATTTTTCTGTTCTGTATCACCATTATTTACTTAAATGAATAAATTACTTTTCAAAGAAAGTATTTCTTATCCTTTGAAGAAACATTGGGAAAGAAAAATAATTATTTAATTACGAAGAAAGCTCGGGACATTTATTATCAATCGGTTAAATATTAAGAGCACATGCCTTTCACAAATGTTCCAGTAATCAATTTAGGAGTGCTTCTTTGCATTTCGAAAGACATTGTGCTACTTTCTTTTTAATAAGCATTTCGGATTTAAACAGAAATTTATCCATTATCAACAGAATGCTAAAATGTAGAATTGAATTAAATTTTATCGCATAAGGTGGAGTTATATTTGTAATAAAAAATCCATTTCTCTCTCTCTCTCTCTCCATGCTTATAAGTGCGACATTAATTTTACTGCACAGACAATTGTAATCAGTGTCTGTATAGCATCAAAAGGATAGAGTATTAGATAAACAAAACTATTAGTATTACATAAACTACCTTTAATGTCATTACAAAAAGAAAATGCACTGACAATTGTAACCAGTGTATGACATCAAATTAATAGTATTAGGTAAACAAAACTATCAGTATTAGGTAAATTACCATTTCATTACAAAAAGGAAATGCACAGACAATTGTGATCAGTGTCTGTATAACATCAAAATGACAGTATTAGATAAACAAAACTATTAGTATTAGATAAACTTCCAATAATTCCATTACAAAAAGGAAATGCAATCATGTGCATAACATCAAAATAATAGTATTACATAAACAAAATTATTAGTATCAGATAAATTATCTTCTTAATTTTATTACAAAACGAAAAGTATAGCCTAACTGCAATGAATTTTAACGATATGAGCTCGAAAATATCAAACACATATATAACATATAAATAATTATAATGTGTGTGTGTGTTTCATATAATAAGTAATTTTTCATTTGCTTAAAAATTACGTAAACAACAGAGAAAAATATAAACACAATGTCCACACTCAAATTATTTATACATTAAAAATTCATCAAAAATAGTACTACAGCGATTAAAAAATATAAATCACTATATAACATACATAGTGAAGAATATAATAGTAATTAAGAATATAAGAATAAAATATAATAGAAAATAATTTAAGAATTAAGAGCTTTCCGCTTCTTCATAAATTACATTGATTTCAATAATTATCATCATTAAATTGTCATTAAATGTTTTTATTGGAATACGTTTTTTTTTATTTCTTTTGTTTTTTATTTAAGGAATTAATTAAATTTTGTGACCTTTAAGAAGTGAAGTTGATAAAAAATGACATATATAAATGCTCAAGAAAAAAACCAGTTCACTGGGGTTTACTGAAACTTAATTTTTGATATTATAGTATAAAGAAATTATCAAACTATGCATTGAAAACTTTAAAGTGAACTAAAAATAATTACTGTCTAGACTCCTCAGCACAGCTAATGAGATTAGTATAAAACTTAGTTGAACTTTAAGAAAATCAATATTATCTGATATTACGTAAAGTTACCAACTTGTGGTTTTAATATTGATAATATTTGGAAATAAAAAGACTTCCCAGACGTTACGCACATAGAAAAGCAAAATAAAAGTTACTATTGAATTGGATTCTTGTCTAAAAAAATATTTCGTCTGAAGGAGCATAATTTTTCTATGAACAGTGACATAGTTCTTGAAATACGATATTCTTTTACACATAATTCATTAAACATTAAGATTTAAGATATTGGTATGTAAATTAAATAGAGGGTTGTTGTTTTTTAATCAATGGGGTAAAAATCCATGCCTTAAGTAACCTATAAAATATACAAGTAGCCAAAATAGGTATAGTTAAAAATATATTATGAATTAATTAAGATAACTGTTATAGCAGGATATTTATAAATAAGGATATTTATAAATAAGGATATGTATAGATAAGGATCATGAAAAATCTATAAAAAATCTAAAAATCTAAGTATTTCGCAAAAAAGTGCTTTAACTAAACTTTAAGTTACATGTTGCGAATAATTAAGGTTATTTTTTTTTAATATGCGTAATTATTTCTCGAAATAAGAAATTGCTTGAATTTTCTGCATAATTTATTGTAAATGGTCTAAATATAATTTAGTTTTTTTTTTATGATATGTAAATGAAGAATACCTTTTATTAACTAAATGAAAATGCGCATTTTTGTAACATAGAAATACACGCTTACATATTGTTAATAAAAATAATAAAAGAGGGAGTTATTAAAAGCTTAAGTATTTTAAATGTTTCCATTTTAAGTTTAAATATTCTGATTAAACACATTTATTGCATGTGGAAATTTAAAACACATGAATATAAATCTGTTTAACCATCTAGAGGAATTCTTCAATACAAAATAAACCACCAATAATCAATACGAGACTCCAATTTAATTTGTGGCTTGCTCTCAAGAAAGTTTACCGCACAACACAGTTCCAACTGATAACCTTAACGCGTATGAATAACATCAAACTTCAAAAGAGGTTCTGAGACTGTTTAAATTTTTAACGAAGAACTAGAAAATATTATACTTCTTTCAACTTGAATAAACACGAGCGATTATTAAATGCCTAATTATCATACGTGGTTTGCTTAACATTTTGCATCTCGCGTTTATAATGAGCACACTAACGCTTCTACCCTCCGCTTAGTCATTAGTAAACGTTAATTTTCTTTATCTGAATTTTGAAACATGACTATCTAAAATGAGATTAATGCAATCAACAGAAGAGGCTTTTGTGCATTTGATGGAGTTTTAAGTTTCCGAGATAATTATATTATATATAGTTGGCAGATTGTTAAAAAGGTTTATAAGAAAATGTTTTAAGTAAATCCTTTGAACTGAGTGCAAGAGAGAGAACAAGTGTAATTCTTAATTAGAAAGATATAACCAAGCTTCTTTATAAGGATTTAAATAATATCTTCCAATACACAGTATTTACTCCAATATTATACTTAACACATATTTTGTGTAGTTTTATTGAGACACATTAACAAAGTTTCATTTCCTACCAAATAACGGATTATAGCATATATATATATCACCCAGAGTTATTCTAAGTAATTTGAATAAAAGGACTTGAAATAAAATTTAAAATGCATATCACGAATAAATAAGGTAACTATTTTTGAATATGCGTAACTATGTTACTAATATACTCAACTCTTTATTACACTGTCGTTTTCAATTCCTACAACTAGTTCACATTCTCCCTATATATATATATATATATATTCCATAATATATATACACAGATAGCTATAGAACCTAAGTATAACTATTCAAGATAGGAAATATTAGGCACAGTAGTATATATATATATCTTGTTCAAATTTTCAATCGTTAATAAAATACTTTTTATTCATACATTCAAATTTAAATACACTTTTTTAAAACTTGTAATGGATGATACAGGCTGTTAATACAGTCTTTTCAAATATTAATTCATTAATTGAATTTAATTAATGAATAAAAGGAAACAAACAAAAATAATTGTCCAGCACCATATATAAAAAAAAAAATCGCTCGTTGTGTCCCTGTAGCGCAATGAAAAGCGCGTTGAACTTCTACTCCATAAGTCGTGGGTTTTAATCGCACCTGGGATGACCTAATTTCTGAGATTGTGATTCCTTTTTACTATTAATGAATAAATAGTAACAAACAAAAATAATAGTCTAACACCCTATATAGAAAGGAAAATGGAAAATTGCAAAGAAAATCGCTTTCTATTTTGCCACTTAATATTATGATTTTGTCAAATGTATATACATATTTATGTTAATTGTAATTATTTAATAAAAAGTAACTAAAACAAAATTTTTCTTTCTTGACCTAAGGAGAAATTGACTTAACTTTTTTTATATTACTTATTACACGATTTTGAAATAACACGGTTCACCAATATACTATTTTACACAAATTTCATGTTCTAGCACGAATGCGCCGCCCCCAAAAAGGATTTCCTGCAGTTACCCCAATTCTATAAATATTTTTTACTTATTTTATTGTGGTTTAACTTGTGAACACAGTATTTTGTTCTTTATTGTATTTGTGTTAAAGTGACCACACATAGTTCGTAGGATGCAATAAATAATTTCATTACAGTTCTAAAAGCTGATGTTCAAATTAAAGTTATTTTTAATTCCATAGAGAAATTTCCAATATAATTTATGTTGATGATGATTCTTTCTGTTAAAGGCCGTTAATAACGAATGAAAATCTTCATTTGAATCAGAGCCAACAGTTTTGCTAGACATACCTGACCCATCTACTGATGAAATCATATTTAATCCAGTGATAAACGTGAACGCGCTTGTTATCAAGTAACGACGGATTATTGCTAGTTATTAGTTTTATTCCTAATTTTTCAATTTTAATTTTTGTGAGTCTTACGTATTTATAGGTTAAATTTTCCCTATACTAAAATTTTAATTTTTTTTTCTTTGCAATATAAATCAATTTTTTTTTATAAATATGTAACACGTATTTCACTATTACATTTTTGCACGATTTTTTGGGGAAATAGTTAGAGTTTTTTCATCTTACCTGATTTTTTAAACTTGAGGAACAGATTTCTAAATTTATCATACGTCGCACGTATCTTTTTGCTCGACTTTTTTTTTCTATGGTTTTCTAAGGAATGTATTTACCGTGCAAAAAAATAGTTGGATGTAGTTACAAGAATTGAATTTTACCTCATTTTTGTTAATAAAATTGTTCACATACTTGTTTGTTTTTTGAGATTAAATTTTCAGAAAGCACTTTTTTTATATTTATTACTTTATAGATGTTTTTACTAAATGAATCATATAATCGCAAATATTCTCCTGCAATGAAACAACTTAGATGAATACTAATATTCATCATCAATCTCAGTTATTTTGTTATAACTCTAACATTTCATCACACTTTTCTGTATTATAACTACTAACATATTAACATAAGTTGAGTTAGTAACATATTAAAAAAGTTAGTTAACATATTAACATAAGTTGAATTAGAAATAAATTACAACAAACACTGTATAAAAATTTTAAGTCTCTACTTTAAAAAGATATTGATGTATCAAGATCCTATAATTCCTATACAAAAGGGAATTTTTAATTAAATAATTATTGAGAACATAACTGAACGTAAGACTCAGAATTAAAACTTCACACATTTACGGAAATAATATTACACTTTCAAATAAATGAAACATATTGTCCTTAAAATAAACTATATTGACAGGAATTCTGAAAGGTTTAATATATAACAATGGGTAGAGCATACTTTGAAAGAAAATTGTATTTACATCTGAGTTACATGACTAGAATGAGAGTCAATTTATTTGGCAACATTAAGTCGTAACAATATTCTCTAAGGCAGAAATGGGGAAGTGCAAGATATCTCTAAGGCTTTGATAATAATGAACCGTGTTTGGAAGAGCACCATTACATTGTGTCTTGACTACTAAGAACACTCTAATTTGTATTATATTATATATAGATATATGGTTTAATTTATACAATCTAATCAAAACATGTGCTCGTACTATTTAAAAGTCATTATTTAGAGGTTATTAATCTCAAGTACTAGATAAGAAGTAAAATATTTCTTAAATGTAATTTAAAATGCTAGGTTTTAATGCATGTATTGAAATAACCCTCACAAATATAAAATTTATTATAAATGTTACAATCATTAAAATATGCAACGTTCTCTTGATATATGTTGTAATTTTAATGAGGTTTGTAAAAGAATAAATAGATTTTCGGGGGACTGGTAAAGATTTACATAAAATTGGTATTGAATGTACGTTATATAGAAATTAAAATATTTATACATGTAATTAAAACATGATCAAAAAATTAGAGCCCTCCCTTTTTTAAATTAATTAATTCTTTATTAGTATCAATATAATGAAGATGGTCTTCTTAATTCTTAACAACGCTCAAAAGACAGGGATAAAAATGTTAAGGTTTATATGCTTTATGAAATGATAAAAAATTAAAAATTACTTTTAGTAAAGCACTCCAAAATTTAAAACAAAATTAATTATTTTTATGATACCTCAATATATATAACGTTTTAAAATTATTTTATCTATTGCTCTTTACTCACAGCGATTTAATTATGGAACTTAATTTGAATCACATTATTTACATTTTTAAATTAACTATTTAAAAAAATATATTCATTTATTTTTTGATTGTGTTTAATACACTCAATATAAAGAATTTATGCTTGTCTCTTAGGTACACTTAACATTGAATTGAATGGAATCTAAAAAACTGGAAAATGTATTTTTTGCGAATAAATAAGAAAAAATGGTGATGAATTTTGAAGCATATATCCCATAAGGGACAAAATGAGAATATGAAAACTTATGCAGCGTTTGAACAGTAAAACTTCAGTATAAAAGCAAAGAACTCAGACTTAGGCCAAACGTGACCAGAACTCAAATTGCAAGGAATCATTTTAAACCGTTTGGAAGCTCAATTTTTCAAAAGTTAAAAGGAGGGAAAAAAACTTTCTCCTTCCTTTTTTTTCTCTTCCTTCCTTTTAACTCCTCAATACCAAGAGGGAGGATCTTTAAAGTAGTGGGAGAGACGGTCAGTAATCGTTCACTATTCTTATCTATTCTGAACAACGCCTTTTGAATTCACGAATAAGAATAAAGTTATATTTTTTAATCTTTAGAGCTTGAAAACAATGGCCCCAAAATATTCTCATTTCACACAATGGTTGATTGTGAAAGACGCCGTGAAAATCTATTTTCTTTGTAAAGTAAGTGCTAACGATAAAACCTGGTCTTAGAGAATTTTCTATGTTTTTTTTATCATCTTCTTTTTGCAGCTTATTTAAGGATTTTTTTAGCAGCGATTATTTTTAATTTTATTGACAAACAAGTAAATTGCATTCATCGTGGGTAATTTTCTGCATTTTGCTCTCGTGATGGTGAGATAAAAAATGGAGGAAAAATTTAATTATGTTTAATTTGTTTTTTATGCAAAGAGATTAAATTTTTTATACTCTAAAGGGTGGTACATATAAAATTTTAAAGCAAACGACTACTTTTAAGAATTCTAAACAAGTATTTTACTATTTTTAAAGATAGTATTAGTGTGTTATCATACTACTATGACAATTAAATAGCCGGACTAATCTTAAAAATTATCTTTATTGAAAATAATGTACAAATACCTTTTAATCCCCTTCCCTATCAATACATAGCTGCATACGAGTTTCCCCCCTTTCAAAGCAGTGCTGTGGCTCATTAGGTGTGACCATCTACAGTAAGTGTGCATCTTTATACCTTCACTTCTTCTACAGACTAATAATATGTTCCCATCCATGTATTTTTCACTTTAAGAAACTGGTAGAAGTCCTATGGTGCGAGATCTGGTTAGTACGGTGGATGCTCGAACGCAGTAATGCACTTGTCCACCAAGAACTATTTTACAGAAAGCACAATGTGCACCAAGGAGTGGTCTTGATGAAAGATACACGTGTTATTGCTCAACAGATCATGCCTTTGCTTCCTCACTCTTTCTCTAAACTTTCTCAGGATCTCAATGTAGTACTGTTGTTTTACCGTTTGGCTTCGAGGTACCCATTCAATCATGATTATGCCATTAATATGGAACAAAAACGATGAGCATCACCTGTTCTTGATGTCACAAATCGAAAAGAATGTTCATCATCTTCAACAACCTCCTTATCTTCCCAAAACCGTTTGAGCCGTTCAAAAATTTAACTGTGTGAAGTGCAATTATCTCCATACACTCCTTTAACTATTTAAAACATTCAGTTGAAACTTTTTTAAAAAATTTCACAGGGAATTTCAAAGTTAGTTAGACTTCAACGTTTATCATGATCGTGACAATTCGACACAACAACGTCTTTCTCAAACAAGGATAAAAAACAAACTGAACTAGATAGAGGGATGAAATAACACGCCATTAGCACTGGAAAGATCAAGGTTAACTGTATTAAATTCCCACTCCTTCACACCAAGCCTAACGGTTGACATTCACAGTCCTTGAAACTAATTGTCACACCTTGTAGTTTCTTAAGCTGTACACTAAAAATTCACGCTATGTATTAATTACTGACACAAATTTATCATGTAATAATTTTTTCAGTTAAAAATGTAAGATCCTATTCAGGGGGTGATTTCACACTTCTGTATTGAAAGTATCAGACAAATAACCTTTATTATAGATGATCTTTCATAAAATTGTGTAACGATTTCCTAATTCATACATATCATTAAATTACTTGACACATTTTACAACTAAAATAGAGTAACTACATCATCATTTAAAGACTTCAGGTTTAAATTCCGAATTAACAAAAATTATTTTTATTTCCTTTCATTACATAACGTTTTAACTTTTGGATAAATAGGATCTATGTAATTATAGAAATGAGAATTAACGTAATACATTCGTGGTCACCTAAATTACCCCAGGGCAAGTGCGGGCAAATAGCAACCCATGAGCCACATGTAGCCAGCAAAGAGTTTTTTTTTTTTTTTTTTTGTGGCCCCCAAGACCGTCAGAAAACCAAATAATTATAAAAAATTCCATATATTTGGGTCACCATATATATGTGATCAAAT